GCGACCACGGCGTCCTCCTCAGCCTGGCCGCCGTGCTGCAGTCCGGGGCCCTGCGCAACCTCAGCCGCCTGGAGCTGGCCGACAATGGGCTGCTGCTGCTGCCCGCCGGCATGTTCACCGCCCTGCCCGCCCTGCGGCAGCTGGACCTCAGCAACAACTCGCTGGTGGGCCTGCGAAACGTCTCCTTCCGAGGGCTGGGCCAGCTGCAGACCCTCAACCTCAGCGACAACTCCCTGGCCGTGCTGAGGAACGGCACCCTGGCCCAGTTCCGTGGCCTGCCCGCCCTCCGGCACATCGGTCTGGGCCGCAACACCTGGGTCTGCGACTGCACCATCGAGGACCTGGTGGCCTGGCTCAAGGAGAGCGACCAGGTGGAGGGTAAAGAAGCCCTGACCTGCGCCTACCCCGACAAGATGCTGGGCAAAGCCCTGCTGAAGATCGATGGCTCGGACCTGAACTGCTCTGTGCCCGTAGACCTGCCTTCCCAGCTGCAGACCTCGTACGTCTTCCTAGGGATAGTCTTGGCTCTCATCGGGGCCATTTTCCTCCTGGTTTTGTACTTGAACCGAAAAGGAATCAAAAAGTGGATGCACAACATCAGAGATGCCTGCAGGGATCACATGGAGGGCTACCACTACAGATACGAGATCAATGCAGACCCCAGGTTAACAAACCTCAGCTCCAACTCGGATGTCTGACGAAGCGCCGCGGACACGGGGCAGCGCACAGTAGCTATGCATGAAAAGTAGACTTACGCTTTACCCTCGCGCTTGCTTCCCTCTCCCCGGAGAAGTCTCAGACGTGCTTGTGACATGAGGGGGATATGCCTCCCTGTGACGTAGAGTTCAATTTTGTGTTCAGACACTGGGCAGCTGCGCATGGCGTTGTGCTGCATGTAGGAAACAAGCTGCTACTTCTTTTCCTCCTTACCTTATCTGTACTCGTGGGAAATTTTTTTCAAGATCTTGAAAGAAAGAAAAGATTCTTTATGATCCTCCAAAGCCACAAGAGTTTATAAAAAATTTACCGAAGCAGACACCATTCAACAAAAGCTGCCTCAACTTTTTGGGAAAACAAACGTTATGTTCCTCTGTGCCAGTTTTGATCTTGTATATCCGAACTGTGATGACAATGATTCCATTTCATAGACTACCTTGAGATTTAAAAAACCAAGGAACTGCTTTTAACAACTCCTCTGTTACAAAGAAGGAAAGCGAATAGTGAGCATGCACAAATACTTTATAGTTTTACGTGTTAGGAAACTTACGATCGCAGTAAGTCTCTTACTATTTTGTAGAGTTATTTTTGGTTGCAGTTTATGTGAAAAGAGAGGGGGGTTTATACAAACTGCATCTAACTCCCATCTGAACTGTTAAATTCAATAAACAGTCTTACAAGAACTGTCGTGTTGAACTTTGCTGTTCAATGAGAAATGTGTGGACGTCTAAGAATGTGGGTAGCTTTATAGTCTATGGAGGACATGGAGGTGACTCAAGACAGCCAGCATGGCTTCACCAAGGGCAAGTCCTGCCTGACCAGCTTAGTGGCCTGCTATGATGGAGTGACTACATCAGTGGATAAGGGAAGAGCTATGGATGTCATCTGTCTGGACTTCTGTAGGGCCTTTCACATGGTCCCCCACAACATCCTGCTCTCTAAAATGGAGAGATGCAGATTTGATTGGTGGAGTGTCGGTGGGTGAGGAATTGGTTGGATGGTTGCATCCAGAGGGTAGTGGTCAACGGCTCAATGTCCAGATGTAGATCAGTGACAAGTGGTGTCCCTCAGGGGTCCGTACTGGGACCGGTGTTGTTTAATATCTTTATCAATGACATAGCAAGATCGAGTGCACCCTCAGCAAGTTTGCAGATGACATTAAGCTGAGTAGTGTGGTTGACATGCCTGAGGGACAGGATGCCATCCAGAGGGACCTGGACAAGCTCAAGAAGTGGGCCTGTGTGAACCTCATGAGGTTCAACAAGGCCAAGTGCAGGGTCCTGCACCTGGGCTGGGGCAACCCCTGGTATCAACACAGGCTGGGGATGCAGGGATTGAGAGCAGCCCTGCCAAGAAGGACTTGGGGGTACTGGAGGATGACAAGCTGGACATGAGCTGACAATGTGTGCTCGCAGCCCGGAAGGACAACCGTATCCTGGGCTGCATCAGGAGAAGCGTGGCCAGCAGGTCGAGGGAGGTGATTCTGCCCCTCTGGTCCGCTCTGTTGAGACCCCACCTGGAGTCAAAGTCATGGACCTGTTGGAACGGGTCCAGAGGAGGCCACAAAAATGATCCGAGGGCTGGAGCACCTCTCCTGTGAGGAAAGGCTGAGAGAGTTGGGGTTGTTCAGCCTGGATAAGAGAAGGCTGCAGGGAGACCTTATTGCAGCCTTCCAGTACTTGAAGGAGGCTTATGAGAAAGACGAGGACAAGCTTTTTAGGCCTGTTGTGATAGGACAAGGGGTAATGGTTTTAAACTAAAGGAGGGTAGATTTAGACTGGTTGTAAGGAAGACATTTTTTACAGTGACAGTGGTGAAAACCCTGGCACAGGTTGACCAGAGAGGTGGTAGATGCCCCATCCCTGGAAACATTCAAGACCAGGTTGGACAGGGCTCTGAGCAACCTGGTCTAGTGGTAGATGTCCCTACTCATTGCGGCAGAGTTGGACTAGATGACCTCTAAAGGTCCCTTCCAGCCCAGACTGTTCTGTGGTTCTATGATATTCTCTGAAGTAATAGCCCTGCAGTAGTAATCTGAATAAAATTTCATACAAACGTGTATCTTAGAGACATAAATGTTTATGACAATTTTGTGAAGTACACTGGGAGAATTACACTGATGAATGAAGAGAGCAGTTTCACTTGGTACAAAACCCCCTGCTCTCTTAAAAGAACTGCAAAACGTTGAGACAAATGCTAGGGTCCACCCTGCTGGGAAGGGCAAGCTGATAGAATTTTTGTAAGGTCTTCTCTACCAAATTAAAAAAAAATAATTCAAATTAAATTGTGGAGTTTGTAAGCTAAGGAAAATTTTACCTGAGTGGAATTGTTTGTTATAAAAAAACATACTTTCATGTCCTGAACTAAATTAAAAGCAGCTCATTGGTGTGGTCGGTGAGCTTCAGGCTTGTAAATCAATGCAGCACTTACTAAGTGCTTACTGTTTCATTTTAAGCTCTCTGTACATGTGAAGTTCAGTAGTGATCCACATCAAGTAACTTGATGGAACTTTACATTTATCTTAAAGCTTGTAACAGGTGCATTTCAGTATTGTATGTTCCTCATGCTTATTACTTGCTTGGGAATGCATTTTTTTGGAAATAGATAAAGCATGCGAAGAGAAACTTAAAAAATGCATCATTTAATATGCAACTCTGATGACTAGAAAAGGTGAGCAAGAACCTTCCAATGGCCACCGATAATTAATGCACTTTTTCTAATCCATTTATAGATTGTTAATGAAAAAAATACACCAGCTGTAAAAGTGTGATGTGAATTGTTATCTGTCAGTATATCTGTGGAGCTTTTTCCATGGACGCTGTTACTTGAAGCTCTTGAGCATCTCTAAAAGTTTATGAATTACCAGCTAATTTCCTTCGCTTTCAAAAGTGACAGTTTTCTCATAGATATATGCCTTTGGTAAGAGCTCATAAATATAAAATAGTCCTTAAAGTATAGGAGGAAATATAAACTATTTCGGGCATCGGTATTATTCGGATGCATTTTTCTCTCCTTGCAATTTCAGACAAAGCAAGTAGCACAAGTTGGTGCAGACGATTTTTCTATTGCTTCAAATTGGCTTTGTTTAGTAGCAGTGGGGTCTTTTTAATGTAGTTTTGTACATTTGCCCTCAAAAGTAAAAAAGAACTAAGTACAATTATTGTTTAATAAATCAGTGTATTTTACAATTAATCTGAGTTAAGTGATAGCTGATTTCTCCTGCTGTAATTTAAATGTATGAGCAATATCTGGTTAACGGCGTATGAATTAAGTTTGTGGATTCTTAAAAAGCAGACTGCTAGTCTGAATGGTAGCTGCCCATATATTAAGAATAATGTAAAAAAAACCCCAGTGTGAATAACTATTACTGTGCAACTATGCAAACCGTTCATACTTGATATACATAAGATAGTTTAGATAAGAAGCTAGAATTTACAATAGCTATGCAGCGTGCTTTGTTGTGTTGGTCATTTCAGAGATTATCAGCTTACACTTATTTATACAGTGCCAAGAGGAGCAGACCGTCATCCTTGCTGAGGATGCTCCTGCAGTGTAACAGATAAAATATGTACAAAGCAAGCCGTTTCTTGGGCAATTTCTTTGGTTTTGTTAACAGATACTTCAAAGTAACTACACTAAAAGCAATCATCTGTGATGTGTTAATGTAGCCATGCGTTTATAGAGCTGTGCAAGGACAGGCAACAACTTTAATCGCAGTCCCTCATCAATGGGCTGAGTATTTGTATAGTGAGCAAGTGTAACTGTTGTATTACATCTATTATTCTAAAGATTATTATTTTTGTATCATAGAAAGTCAATGTAATAGAATTTTATTAGAGACCTGGTGATGACTACTTTAAAATAATTTTTGCCATTTGCTTATGTGTGTATTTATTAGGATGTAATAGTTAGCACGTGTCAGTATTGTGCTGGATAACAGTCTCCTACAGTGTTTGACAAATAGTGAATGCTTTGGTGTTTTGTACAATGCATTATTTTTTCTTAAATCCCCTTTCATAAACAATGATTGAAATTTGTTTTCCTTTCCTTTTGCAAAATAGTTAACAGTGTTACTCAGAAGACATTTAAAACGTGGCTCCTAAAGTGCTTCGGAACTTGGTTCAATAGTCTACATTTAAAATAACGTTATTTTAAGGGTTCTTCTGAAGCACATTTTATAATCTTACTCTGCTTTAACACCATTTCAATGAAATTTCAATTGATCACCATTTCCAGAGCAGCTTGAATAGTAAGGCTGTTTTATTCATTCTTCAATAAAACACATGCAGTACTACATGCCTCTAAACTGTGTTTTGTATACATAAACCTTCAGAGTTCTGCAGACACGGTTGTCACTGATATTTCATAGAAAACATCTGGACTCAAGTAGTGGGCAAATCGTCAGGGAAGGCTGCACAGCTATAGAAGCAGAAAGGATGGGTTGTCCAAGGTTCACCTGCTTCCTTAAAACTAGTTTTAGTTGTAATAAACTTAAAACTTTCTTGGAAGAATAGCACAAGGAATTGCCATAGTTTTAATATATTTTCCTAAAGTACTTTGGATAAGCACTGTTGCCAGGTAAGAAACAGAAAATTCCCCAAATCTTTTTTTATTCAAGGTAGCTTTATATTAGATCATCCCACTTTTTTTTTTTCTTTCAGCAAGCCATAATATTACCAATAATTCTGACATCCAAAAAATGATTTGAAGTTTTGCAGAATGGCTTTAAATCTTTTCATTCAGGGTAATTTACCTTTTAAGCACTGGTGACAATCCCCAGTGACATGCCAGCTAGCGAAGCAGTCTGTTCAGACCCATATTCAGTTGTTGACAGAGATGTCACTGAAGACAGGGATGGCAAAATATTCAAAATATGACTGCACTAGGATCCCAACTCTCATTATTCTCCCAGCATTTTCCCTGTGGTATACTCACTCTTTATGCATCTGCATAATTTCTTCTTCGCCTCATTTTCTCAAGA